AGTATCCTCAAAGCGCCAGCGTATTGGGCGGTGGCGGCCACGGTTGCCTGGCTGAAGGCGAGTAAAACAATCTAGAGTCGATCGTCCAGCAGCTTGAGGAGTAGCAGGGCGGCTGGAACGAGGAGATCCTTGAGGATGGTGTAATTGCCATGCTCCACTCCCAACTTTCCGACATTGTCTTTGAAGCCAAACACAACTTCGGATTTGACTAAAATTACAATTGTTTTCTGTCTCACTCGGAAGCGGTACGCTAGTTATTATATCTTTATAAAAAATATGTACCGGGTAATCGGGTAGATTACCATTAAGTAAAAGTAAAAGTGGTGCGGCTAAGGTAAAGGGAAAGGCCCATGCATTACCCGGCAACCTTTTACCTTACCTTCCAAGAGGACTCTTCAACAGATAAGTTCATGCTTTCATGCGTCCCATGTTTCCACCTCAAGTCATTTTCCATTCAATGACGTCACTTCCTCAGCATTACGTTTTGATTTCTCGGGAGTTCAGAGTTCAGCTGATGAAGACCAACGAACTATACACGAATTATTGATCACAAATTTCTCAACAAAGATTTCCCAGAGTGATGCTTTTGTTGCCTAGCCCCATGTTACCTGTTTTATTTCAAGGGTCCTCCCATCCTTTTTTTTGCTGTACTACTGGGTGCCGACTTTTTTGCAAAAGCAAATAGCTAGTCCTTATGGAATGGCCGCGTTATCGGAAGAGTTGTATTGACAGCAACTGAGATTTGATACTGATGTCTCAAGTATGAGGTCCGCCACGTACAGCGAGGGATCTCAAGACAAATGGAGGATCGACAGAAAATCAGAAGAAGACAGTGGTTGCATCATGGAGTCTCAGACCTTCGAATGCGATTGCTAGTGTGGCTGTCAGATTTTCAACATCAAATGGTTTGCTTTCGTTCCCTCTTGTGTATTTCAGGCAACAGGGTGCTCACCGCCCTCACCACATTCGTTAGTACAGCAGTTAGCACTCTATCCGATCTAACAATTCTTTGTCTGCAATATCCTTGACAAAACCTTTCTCTTCAAAATGTTTTGTAGCTCCATCAGTATATCACCGAGAGCAACCCAAGGCTTTATTTTATTAACAGTGATACTGAACTCCATTTGTTAGTGTATCCTCGGAACCTGCAATGCATGCTCCGCAGCCCTTCAAGCTTGTGCTGAATTGGCTATACACTGAGATTACATGAACTTCTGAATGTGTATGTGGATCTCTTTCATTATACATCTCACATTGTAGCATTACAAGTAATTTAATTTCATGCGTATGACTGTCCAGATTTTATTCTTTCTTACTTCACTAAGAGCTTCATACGAAAGATGTAAAAATACAATATTATTCAGAATTAATATTTTGAATAACTCGCGTTTATGTTAGATAAATATACGTTGCAAGAATACCACCTACAAGTCAAACCGACACCATCATAGTGACATCAAAGAGGCGTCGTGAGGTGAAAATCTGCTCTTTTCAATCCATCGACTTTTCAATTGTGATGGAGCAAGAAGAGACTGGATTATAGGAGGGGAGAATTTAGAGCTGGTAGCTCTTCCATTCTTCTATCGTATGGATGCATCATGAGGTGAACTAGTTTCCTAGAGAGTCAAGAAGGTGAGGTGTTGGACAGAGTGAATTGCAAAGGATCAGATCATATGCAGGCAAAGCAAAGAGGAGACATCGACACTTAGTTGGTTTGACTCCTAAGTTTCTGGGCATCCAAGAAAACTTGGAGAAGAATCCTCCTTACGTGTCCTCCTTTTCTTGATATCTATATTCCACGTGTTTTTTTCCGAAGTATATTTAGAATTCTTTGACGGGTATACCAGACCTATGTGCATGTGTAATACTAAGTACCTGTGTCAATCTAGTGCATTGTCCTTACAATCATTACAAGCGGCTTAGCTTTTTATCTGGATATAATTCTAGAAGCAAGGGCGTTTGCAGCTACATAAGCTCCAGCGATCAGTCAAGCCGTGGGTTACTAATCGCGTTCTGTGTATTATCAAGTTGACGTAATTTTCAACTTTCAGGAAACTTTTTTTCTCTGGTTTCGTCCATAACTTTTGAGCCGTGTGGACTGTTAAATGCCGATCATTCTCAATCTGATGAGATTCAACTAAACTGCATTCAGGTAGACGTGTATTTCTAGGCCTATGTTCTAACTTAAACACCCGTGGTCTTCATTCAACTCATTCTGTCCCTTCTTCTACTCAAGTGGGATGCATGGTGCCTTCCTTGTCATCGCATCGATTTAACGAATGGATGCTATGGGCATCCGAAGACATAGTGTCAAGTCTGTACATTATTAATTTTGACATGTTTATCTGCAGCGGCCCAATTATAAATCGCCAATGATGCCCACGTATATAAATTTCAGATAGGGAATGCTCGCTTGCTGGACGGAAGGAGAATCACAAACAAATTATAAGGAACAGTCAATGCCTTCTTATCTTCGATCGCATGCCCATACTGTCGGTACTGTTGTGATCGCGAGTTGAAATCTGTGGTCATCAGTCTACCAGCAGAATGCAAGCTCGAGAAAATGCTCTACGCTCAGCATGTAATTGCAGGGCTGGTGCACGGCACAAAGTATGAGCGTTCCTTCTGCGCTGTTATTGAAAGCGTTCTTCTCTTCATCAGATCTTCGACTAAGCTTTTTCGAGACGTCAAATTTAGTTCAACGTTCGGGTTAATTCCAGTTGTCTGCCCGTGTCAGCGAACAGCATGCAAGATCTTTGAGCTGCTCTCGGTGATTCCTATCGTCCGGAACTGGATTATGTTTTGGGTTTGACTGAGTTGCATTAGTTTTGATATATGAATCCAACAAAGTGATATGATTAATCGCGTGAGTTTCCATGCATCAGATATCCGAGCAGTCCGATCTTTGGCTACTGCCATCACCATTGAAAACTCTTAGAATCATCACATGTTTTGAAATCAGATACAGCACCTTTGGAACGTGTTGAACCAAATCCAGCACCCTGCGAATGCGATTTCAGCCCTCGCTAGAGGAAGTTTACCTTCTATTTTGTCTTGGCGTTCCAGCAGATCATGTAGTTGAAGACAACAACTAATTGAAGATGGAGAATCATGGATAAGAGTTTACGCAAATTGACCTATGAAAATAACAATGACTTCAAACAACTGCACCACCTTTTTCAAACCCCCTCATGACTTACTTTCCCATTACGCTACTGGAGGTACTGGCGTTTTAGTTTATGTTGATAGTAATCTGATGGACGGCTTGGACAACTGTTCTGCAGTCTTTGCTGCCAAATCCTTCTTTTTCCCCTTGCAGCTCGTTCTTGGTGAAAGTTGGTCTTCACACCGTTTATCCGCATCAGCCCATTTTTACCTCTGTTTTTGAGGGGAATAGATTACGAGCTAGTCTTCAGATATTGATATATCTGATCTCTTTGCATACAAAAGAGCCCGATGACACTGCAGGATCAAATGAAAGACTCCAATTTTCGGTTCCTCAAGACTCCGTATTAGAAACACAAGCAGCTTGGTCCTAATCACAACTTACCATAAAATTCTTACCTCTTGTCATTTCTCCAGTATTGAATTCCAGACTAGCATCGTCTGTACAGAAAACTGCACGGGAGAAGTAATAGTCTACGTGCAGAGTTCAACTGGATGACAAGAATGAGCGATTGCTGCGATTGGAGAAGGTTGTCCATGTATCTAAGGTTGTCAGGTCATGTACATCAGACTTTTATTTCAAATGATCGTCTTTTTTCTAACCACAAATAGATGACGATGAGGATTACCATTATGTGCAATTGTGACTTCTACATCAACAATGCCTCTTGGCTTGGCATAAACACAATAATGAGTTCGAATGATTGTTCTTTCTGACGACAATTGATAACATTGAGTAGCTTATCAATATCATAATTTACCAGTGTGACTTTGACATTACACCATGCCTCTTGGCTTGCCATAAACACAAGAAATGTCTTCGTTGTAACCCGTGAAAGATGATCAGGAAAGAGCCTACATTCATAGATGCTAGGCGACCTCTACTCCACCTGTGAGATTCGGAACGCAATGTGTTACGCTGCCAAGCCTGTTAAACATTTCAAAATCTGCAGACATGGATAAAGATAAAGGACATGGATAAAGGCTGCAAACGTGACGGTCTCGTGATGTAGGATCAGCGTGTTTTAGGTTTGTGCCCATTGCCTTCTCGCAATTCCATTGATTTTGGAGCGGTCATATCTTGATTTTGTTTTTCAACGTTGAGCAACAGGATCCTTTCTTAAAATAACTTGCTTCCATCACGAGGGCACACTCGAGACTCTAAAAATGGCGGAAGTCTATACTCAGATTTGCTTCACAAGCTCACATCGACTGTGTTTCAGTTGCATCATTATGCTGCTTACGGGTCCTGCTATCCAGTCATTCTCAACCTTCCGGAAGGGGTAAGTCTAAACCGTTGTTGACACCTTTCTGCGACGACAAGAATGTCTCTTGACTTTGTTAAGTCTTTTTGGCTAGGTTTGAAATTTATGTCGATTCCTTGACTACATGTAAGCTTGGATTAAAACCCGAAGATATATTTTATATAATTGAATGAACACTATACATTTTTTCGCATTATTAAGAATTTTTAGATATTGCTTTTATCGTATTCAGTAAATGATCGTGTTTAAAGGAGACAAGTCGCTTGAAAGCTACAATCTGGTCTGCTGGTACGATTGCAAAATTTGCATGTTTCGACACGTATCTAAAACTGAGCTCAAGCGCTCAACCGCTTCTCCTTCCAAAGGGATCGTATATGCTACTCACTCAGTGCAGACAGCTGGTGTGGTTTAAAATTTCAAGGTATGATATAAATTAATGATTGCTATATTCACGCCTCGTTTCAAGGCCCTCAGGCCCAAGAGTGAGCAGCATATAAATTATAACACAAATAAAAAGTTCTCAAATGACTAACATGTGAATGGTTATCAATACATCTCAGAACAGAAACTCTAGTTCTGCATAAAACCGACATATTTTTCTAAATGACTTCTTTCAAATGAAGGGACGATAATATCCGACCCTCTGAGAACTTCACGCGTGTTGGTGAAACCAAAAGTTGCAGTGGGCATTTCCAAAGGAGTGAGATTGTTTCCATTATCTGTCTCCGACAAATACGATAAGACTGGATATAAAGAATTGGAAGAAGGGACAGAAGATAGTGCTTCCAACCATTCAGGAAAGCCAAGCTCCTCCAATTTGTACTGCCAAACGTCTTTCAGAGTCTGAAACATGGCCGAGTTGCCCATCTCTCTTTCACGGTCTGGTACAAGATTATATATCTGACCTGGAGCTGTGTTCAAGGAGATATAGCTTATGGCGTCTGCCACAAAATCCACTGAAACGGGTATCCAGAATTTTCTGGGCAAATGTGGATACTTGCCCATCTGAATGCAGCCCTGGATATACCGGCACATCATGTCATCTCTATTAGCGGCACCAGTTACTGAGTGTGCTTGAATAAAACCTGGACGGTAGATGGAGACTGGAAAGCCTCTGGACCTGAAATCCAGTACCATCATTTCAGCCACCCACTTTGACTTTGAATATCCAGTTTCGGTGTTGGAGAAGAAGGAGGGACAACACTCCATGTCGAAATTCTCGTCAAGTAGATCGAAAGAAAACGCACTGAGGCTGCCGTAGACACCAACGGTGGAAACGTAGTGTAGAGTCTTTGTTGAGATTCCGTTAGCTGCAAAGTGCAATATGTTTTTCGTTCCCACGACATTCGGCAGTCCTATTTCTTCGTAAGGCCAGAGGTAGTTTGTGACCGCAGCTACATGGTAAATGGTATCTACATGCTGGCATAGTTGGGCGTAGGACTCTTCTGAACGTCCCAGCATTAGCTCTTGAATGTCTCCGACCAGCAAAACCAGCTGTACATTGGAGATCCTGGTTGCCAAACCATACTTCTGTCGCGCAGCTCCTAGCTTCTCCCAGGCTTGGGCGACAGAATTCCCCCGCACGAGACAGTATATCACTTGGAACGGACTTTGCGCCAGAAGATTGTCGAGAAGAAACACACCCAAGAACCCCGTGGCTCCAGTGACCAAGGCAGCTCTAGAGCGCAATTTGCCAGATTTAAGTGCACGAAGAGTTCTATCGAGAGACTGAGATTCTTTGTTAAGCACGTCCCTGACAGCATCCAGCTGGAGCACGGAGTCGGTCTGCTTTCTCTTCGTCAGGATCAACCGTACCAGCTGCTGAGGAGTCGGGTGGTTGTATATCTCCCGTGAAAGCATCTCCATCTCGAAGGTCTGCCGCAGCTCGCTCAACAGAGGCATGAGCAGCAGCGAGTTGCCACCCAGGTCGAAGAAGTTGCTATCAACTTTCACAAGTCCACCATCCAGCCCGAGAACATTTGCAAAAGTCAAACAGGCCATGCTCAGCATGCCATGGAGATCATCGTCAAGGCCATCCACCGCCGTGTCATGCCCACAGCAGCCATTGGAGACGGGACTGGAACTCTGAAGGGAGACGGGATGGGGGAGAGCCTTTCTGTCCACCTTGCCCCCGTTCAAGGTGAGGGGCAGAGCCGTCATTATGACGTATACATGGGGCACCATGTACGAGGGCAAGTGGTCCAGCAGAAAGGATTTGAGAAGACTCGAGGAGAAAAGCTTGCTCTCGGCAGCTTCCCGTCGCAGGACGACGTAAGCGACCAGAATCTGATTCGAGCCGTCCTTGTTCGCTGCCACCGCCGTCACCGCAGCGTGCTCCACGGCCAGGTGCTGGCACAACGTCTGCTCCACTGCTCCGAGCTCGACTCTGAATCCACGGATTTTGATTTGCGTGTCGACCCGGCCAGCAAACTCGAGCAGCTTCCTCGATCCCCGACGAACTCCTAGATCTCCACTCCGGTAGAGAGTCTGGCCCGTCCGAGGATGAATTATGAAACACTCGCTGGTCAATTTTGGCTTGCCGAAGTACCCTGCGCTCACGCCCACTCCGCCGATGTAGATCTGCCCGACTTCACCGTCCTCGACAGGCTCGAGCTGAGAATCCAGCAGGTCCACGGTCCAGCCGGGCAAGGGAGCTCCCAGAGGAACCGTGCTCAGACCCGAGAGGTCTGAAATGTCGTCGATGACATGCATCGTGGTGACGACGGTGCACTCCGTGGGACCGTAGGCGTTGATGAATCTTCGTCCCGGTAGAGCCCACGTGCTGGCCAAAGCCAGAGTACAAGCCTCGCCTCCGGCGATGACAGCGCGGAGGCACGTGAGCTCTGAGCTGAACTCATTCAACGTCGAGAGCACCGAGGGAGGCAGCAGGGCCGCCGTCACCTTGTGGGTGTCGATATAGCGAGCGAGGTTCGGACCGGGTAGCAACTCGTCTCGGGAGCCGAGAACCAAAGTCGCCCCGCTGCAGAGCGTGGCGAAAATCTCGACGGTGCTCGCGTCGAAGCAGTGCGAGGAGAATTGCAGCATTCTGCTGTCTCGTTGATTGAGCTCCCACACCTCGGCGGCCGCTCGCGACAGGGCCATCACTCCCTTGTGCAGAACCATGACCCCCTTCGGCTCCCCTGACGATCCCGAGGTGTAAATTATGTTGGCCAAATCCTCCGGGTCCGGGTCCAGGTCCGTGTCCGTGTCATCCTCCTCGATCTCGTTCGAGCTCGAGAGATGCCGGATCAGACCGTCCAGGTACACCAGCTTTGACGAGAAACTCACGTCTCGCAGAACACTCTCCAAGTCCAGGGCGAATTGGCGCTGCGTCAGAATTATGTCCAGCTGCGAGTCGTTGATCATGTACGCGAGACGTCTGTGGGGCAAGCTCGGATCCAGGGGCACGTAGGGAGCTCCCGCATCCAGCACCCCCAGAATCGTCACAATGTGGTCGAAGCGTCGATCCATGCAAACTCCGACTGCGAGCTTTGGCCTGACACCGACGGTCCTTCGTAGATGCCTCGACAGGGCCCGTACGTCTCTCCCGAGCTCTTCGTATGTGATAGATGTGTCCTTTGTGCCCACGAGTGCAAGTCTGATTCCGCCTTCTTTGCACACTCTCCGCAGCAGCGGAACGACGCTGTTGTCCTCCATGGCATCCGGTTTGAAATCGTCCCGAAATTAGTGCCCAATCTTTATAGTCTCGTTGCGAAGGTGTGTCAATCATTTCTTACAAGCTCAAATGTAATAAAAGTAAACAGAATTTATGTGACACTCATAGTATTCACACGTGCTCTTTAGTTCTAAGAATTCGCAGAATAATATTAAATAAGGTACAGGAAAATATAAAAGTTTCACACTAAAGCTATGAGAATAACACATGGCTTCTGTGCAATGCATGGTAGATGTGAAAACGAATTTAGACGAGACCTATCACTGATCCACTGGGATTTATTGGCTGTTTAAGAGGAAACAAGACAGTTATCGTGTAATGCGAGCAAGAGGATGTCAAGTGAACAACGTTGTCATGTTAAATAGCATGCTGGATGGACATACATGTCATTCAACTATATTTGTAATCACACTGATGCAAATCTGCTCTGATTTTTATTTAACATTGCAAGTAAAAGATGATGATTATCGTCATTGTTCAAAGATCTCTACAGAGCATTCCAATCCAAGCTAATTGTATGGAACGATGAATTTAGAATTACATTTATAATATAAAATTGTCACGAAACAACCAAATTATTTAGCCCAAGTATGAATATGCAACTGAGGTAAAAGGTATGAACATAGAACCGACTCGGATATTCAAGTCAATCTGATTCGGATGATATGAGATGTAATCATTCTTAATCATTTGGAGTCGATGAGAATTGGCACATTCCATCCTGTTCTACATTTGCATATTTTTACCACTACTAGACCTTGTGGCTTTAGGAGGAGTAATCAATAACAATATGTGTGCGTGTGAACCTGTGCCAGAGCTATGTGACAAATTTACGTCAGTATCCATCGTCCCTTCTGAAGAAAATGTAACGAGTTAGGCCAGAAGAATAAATAAGCGTTATTCTTAATGTGACCATTGCCTGACACAAATAGTTTTGTACGACCTGTTTATGTTTTGTACGAAGATCAACGACCATCAGAATCGAAATGACCTGTGAAGCAGATGTAGTTATGAAGGCAAGAAGAATAAACAAGGGCTACGTGTGAACAAGTTCAGGAGAAAATTGGTAATTTGAATATATATATATATATATATATATATTATGATTAGGCCTCTCTAAATACATAAATCCATCAATGGAGTTCCTTATATTCTGTATTTGGTTTCACGAAGATATTTAATTTTGCAAATATAATTTTTCCCCATCTACGTGAAATAACTAGAGAGTTATAAAAGTTTTACATTCAAGTTCCTTAACATGGGTTTCTTTAGTTATAAGCTCTTCCAATGATACCTCTCTAAATTGAACCTATCTAAGTTGATAACCTCCTTAATTTGATAGAAATCCCGGGAACAGACTCCGAGAATAGGGATAACTTGATATCTGATATTTGATACAACTTTTGAGAATATCAAGTAAAACTTTATTATTGAAAAAACACATCTAGGGTGGTCTGGGATGCATGGGATGTCTTGGCTGCGCGCAACTCTTGCTGTAGCGTGCAAAGTACAGCAGTGCAGCTGGCGTGAGACGGTTTACTAAGGTCAAGCAACTTCATGGCTTTGGTGAGATGGTGTAGCTTTTCGTTTGTTGACATCTGAGGTGGATATGCGGCCACGTCTTCCTCCTCATCTTCGAGAGATTCATCAGTGGTCATTTGTACCAATTCCTCATCGTTGAGTTCTTCAAGAGAACTCTCGTTCTCGCCTGCAGGATTGATGAAATCTGTAACATCAAATGGTGCAGCAACGCCTATGGTTTGTATGCCTTCGGCAATTTCCTGCTCAATTGCCCTTGCGTCCGGATTGGTGAGAGCAGCATCGATCGCAACTGCGGCTTCATGGGGTGCATTTAGAATCTGGATTATTTGAGATATCATTGACAAAGATGATACCTTGGTATGACGAAAGCAATTGTGGATTGTATTACCAGTGATCTCATTCCAGGCTGCTTTTGCCCATTGCATAGTCGTCAGTTGGTCAACTTTATATAGATCTATGCCACCCGCCTCTTCAATGTCAATTGCACGCTGGATGTAAAGTCTTCGATAGCACCATTTGAATGCTGCGATAATCCTAGCGTCCATAGGTTGCAGCTTGGAAGTGGTGTTTGGCGGCAGAAACAAGCCCTCAATGTTATCAAGTTCCACGGATATGTGGCCAGGCGCATTGTCCAAAAGCAGCAAAATGGACCTACCACAGTTCTTCATCTCCGCATCTAAGTTTTCCAGCAATTCTTGGAAAAGCCACCTGGTAATCCAAGCCTTCTGGTTGTGCCGATATAGGAAGCTCAATTGAGTAGCGGTTTTCTTCTTGAAGGGTCTGGACTGTTTTGCATGGCCGATGAAGAAAGGCTCAAGCTTGTGCAAACCATCAGCGTTGGCCCTAAATGCAATGGTAAACCGCTTTTTGCTTTTCTTAAGACCTTTCAGCTGAAACTGCACGATAGTCCGATCAAGCACAAATTCGTAGAGCCTGGTTTCGTCCATGTTGAAAACGTTAGCAGGGGCATAAGATGCTACCTTTCGTTGAATTTCTTCCAAGCTCGCAGTCACAAACCCCATGTCGACGGAACCGCTCTCATTCATCATTTTAACCGAATGAAACCAATTGCGTGAAAGAAACTTTTGTAACCAGCCGTTGGAGAATTTAGTGGCTTTGAGGTTCAATAGAGTTGCAAGCCGCTTTGCCTTCTCAATGATGACGGCATACATAAGTGCCACCTTTTTGTGTTGGCATTGCAGTACCCAATTCGTCAGCGCTTCATCTAGTTGTAGATACTTCACTTTTCTTAACCGCTTGTTTTGCAGCTCAGCGGCACTCATACTCTCCAGGTTCCTCTTCATGCCAAGAATATTGGAGATGGTGGATTGTGCCGGCAACTTTGGAAGATTGAAAGTGGTCTTCGTCCATTCTCTCAACTTCACTTGCTGCAGACTAGGGTTTTCCAGGCAGTACTGGCACAACTGAAGCTTCTGCTCGTTGTTCATGATGGGAATGGGTCGCGGGAGAGCTGCATCGCCCGGGAATGTTGTTGGATGGCACGAAACAAAGGTGACACAATAAGGCAAAGCGGAGTTTCATTTCCCATTGTACCTCCTCAACTTGATAACTTCTCTAATTTGATCAAAAGTCTGGGAACGGACCTTATCAGATTAGAAAGGTATCATTGTATGCATAATTCTTTATGTATTTGCAAATGTCACTTCTTCATTTCAAATGCTTATTGAAGCAACATCTTCCAGATCGAGCCGGTTTGTCTGGGTAATGTTGATGAAATCGGTCACTCAAGTCTTGTGTGTGAGTTAAGTTCTTGACATGCTCCCAAGTGGCTTCTAACAAATGGTTAGCTTCGCCAAAATACAAGACACTTAAGCTTGGTGCAAAAAAATTTCAAATCTAAGACTTCTTGAACTTCAAACTCGCCTTGGCTTCAACTTTGATTGGAGCTAGAGATTTTGTCAACGTCCCGGGATTTGTGCCTTGTGATAAGTCTCAAGCAAGGAGACGTGGAACACATTGTGGATCTTGAACTAGAGAGAAAGCTCCAGCCGACAAGCTACAAGATCGATAAATTGAAAAATTTTGAAAGTTATTAAAAGCTTGTAATACAACTTTGCACATGGACGAGTGGTGGCAACATTTTTTCTGAGTAGCCAGATCTTATTTCCTATTTTGAAGTTCAGGTGATACTTGCGTTGACGAGCTGCTTGCTTCTTTTGCCATTATTGAGTCGGCGTGAGCTCCGACACAAGCTCTTGTTGAACGCATTTGAGAAGGTTGGTCCTCTCTTTAGCCAAGGGATTGATTGAACCTCCTAGAATTTCAAAACTAAATCACGGATGATATTCATAGTTGGCAAAATGGGCTGACATGAGTTGAGGCATGCAATGTTTTGTTGTAAGCAAATTTTGTTTGAGATAGCAATAACAACTAGTCTTCTTGCTATTAATTCACGGTGACGCAAAGGTATTGCTCAAGTGTCTGGTTTGTCCGTTCAATTTGCCCATCTAACTCAAGGTGGAACTCTGAGAAAAAATTAATGTCAACATGAAGAAACTTGAACAAGAACTTGAATGTAAGCTTAGGTACTCTATCAGATTCTATCTCATCGAGTAGCCAATGCAATCAAACAATCCAATCCACAATCAACTAGGTTGTTTCTTCAGCTGTGATCAACTTGGAACACAGAATAAAATGAATCATCTTGGTGAAATAATCCACCGTCATCAAGATGTAATCTTTGCCGTTGACGATTGATAAATTTTTAATGAAGTTCGGGAAATGTATTTACAATGGCATTTTGGGATAGACAAAGGCGGGAGGAGATCAAAGGGATGATATTTGGGGCCTTAGATCGAGCACAAGCACTGGACATATTGCCATACCAACTTATTCATCTTGGATCATTAGTAGTTCCTTGTCACAAACTCTTGAGTCCGTGCCGTGCCAAAATGTCCAACGTGAACGTTCTACTGACATTTGTTGAAGATCTTTAGGTGCAAGGGTACTTCAGGTATATAGATAAAAAAATTTCAAAAGAAAAGTATGTCTTGCTGTTTGAACATATCAGATTGTTGCAGCTGGAATTCTTTGAACGATTTTGAAGTTACTCAATGACATTTTTTGCCCAGGTATCTCCATTTGTTGCCAACTCGATGTCCTTGAAAAACTTCTCTTTGTACCAACTTAATATCTCTGAAAAAATCCGAATCTGGAAGGAAACTAACGATTGCCGCAAGTTGGAATTGCTCGGATTTGAGTAAGGCCTAATACTCTTGGCCCTAGGCCTCATCCCCTTCTTTAAGCTCATATTCTGAGCATCGTGAGAATGCATCGGCAGAAATCAATTTCATAGTCGTAGATTGGATAATTGATTTTTGCACTTGTGAGTTTTTGAGAATAGAAAGCAAGAGGATGCAGAGATCCATCTGGTCCGAGTTGAGACAAAATAGCTCAGAAAGCAAAGTAAAAAGCGTACGTTTTCACAATGAATGGTCTTGCAGTATCATGATGTATCAAATCCGGTGCAAAGAATGAGTATCAAAAGCATCATGGATCTTTGAATTTCAAAGGAACAGCTTGTCATTGCAAATCAAGACGGTTAGAGGTGTTGTTATCTTGGAGTAGTCCTTAATAAATCAACGGTAGAAGTTGGCAAAGCCCAAGAAACGTTGAACATCTTTGACCGAGTATGGCGTAGATTAAGAAAAGTTGAACATCTTTGACAGAGTATGGCGTCGACCAAGATTGGATTGCGTTAATCTTTGATGCCTTCATGAAGATGCCCGTAGAAGATATTATGTAGTCAAGGAATTCCACATTAGTTTTTCCGAACTCATACTTTTTCCGTTTGGCCTACAGATCATGTTCGCGTAGTTTGATAAGCATCAAAGATGCATGAATCTGGTGCTCTTCTTGGTTTTTGAAGAAGATATACTGTCTTCCAAATAGATCAGAACAAAATTGTAAACTGCTTGTGAAAATTGTTGTTCATGAAATGCTAGAAGACTACTGATGCATTGGTGAGTCCAAAAGGCATGATCGTGTATTCAAAGTGTTTGTAGCGTGTCCGACAAGACGTCTTTCATCTGTCTCCAGGGCAAATCGGGACGAGGTTGTAAGCTCCTTTTAGATCGATCTTGATGGAGACTTTAGCCAAGCAAAGACGATCTAAGAGGCTAGAAATCAAAGGCAGAGGATATTAAATTGACTCAATTTTTTCTTGATTCAATTTAGTACGTAGTACTCTACACAGAGGTGAAGAGAGCCGTCTTCTTTCAAGGCTGCTGTTGAAGATTTGCCGCGTCAAATAAATCTATTTGGAAGGTTTTTGGCTAAGTAATCCCGCAGAGTTTGAAGTTTGGACTCTGAAAGTCTATAAATTGGATTCTTTTAAATCAATCGTGCAATCGTACGGGGAGTGCTCGGGGACCTGGTCGGCTTTCTTGTAATTTCTGCAAAGTTCTTGTACTTCTTTGGAAGCTTGACAAAATTTGATTACGGTCAAGGTTTTTCATTACTGGCTAGATGGCGTGGATGACGAAGTCTTGAAGAGTTTTAACAACTTGATAGAAAGATGCGGCCTCGATAAAAAAAATTATTTGTATTTGTACACGATTGGATTTCTTGGCAGGATTTTTGTTTTGGATTCTCAACCACAGGATTCTAGAACTCAACATAACAGGATTTAAATAGGACAGGAAGTGGTGTTGGCCACCAAAAGTCTCTTGATCAACTATTTCTAGATAGAACTTGACACAATGTTTCTCTGGTATTGCGATGATCTTCTTAAATTTTCTTGTAAATTGAAATAGTTTTTAGTGCATGATGACCAAGATTTGATGTTTGTAGTCAATTCTGCAAGATTACACTAATTTCAGTACAATAGTTGTAAATTTTACTACAAACACATACATATAGTTAAATGATAATTTTATATGTTATTCTAATCTATAATGGAAGTTCGTTTTGATGAAAAGAACCATTGTAGAGTTATGTGAGATTTAATAAATAGCTGAAAAAATTATTTTGGTAATCTTGTTTATGGAACAACAAGATTACCAAATAGTAATTTTTTAGAAAAAACTTTGGAGAATATTTCACATTGTTATGAAGTTTCATATTGTGTGAATGAACGGTTGTAGAATTGTATAAGATTTAGTAGAATAATTGTAAATTTTGCTATAAACATTGTTCATGCGTAACTTCATATCGATTTAAGAAACAGTAATTTTGTAATAAATTATTTTGGATAATATATTATGTTATTGTAAGACTTCGTGTCGATCGAAGAAACGATTATAGTTCTACAAGATCGAAGGTAATATTATCTAAAGTTGAACTCATCAGATTTTCATGAGTACAAGAGAGTCATTTTATATTCATGTCCAAAGTTGAGTAATAGTGGAAAATTTCAATGTCATCAACAAGAGTTACATGGTAGAGTTTCAATCATATGAAACAGCCGCATGGAAAATCGTTAGTAGGTATCGGAATGCAACAACCACAGCTATGGAAGCTATCGTCTAATGTTCTGATAGAACCAGTACGTGCCTGACTGAATTCTCATGACACCTGATTGATCAGAATGAGATGACTACACAAATAGAGAGCATGAAGTCTAGTGCTGGAAATGAATGCTGTAGCTTTCCTTGATCTGCTTAGCTTTCAAAATACATGAAGTTAGAACCTTCTCTGTCGAAGATGGGCAAAACTTGAATATCGAGTTCTCCCGAAGTTTTGTTCAACGAGCTTGAGTCTCTCTCTTCTACAAACTAGACAGTGAGTTTTGCTTGAGTTCAAAGTACAATTAACTACATCGAAGTGCATTAAACTACATCGTTTCCAGACTTGTACTCATAAACAAGCATTCTTCGAGAAGAACAAACAACCTGATCTATTTTTCGCATACCGGGGAAGTACTCTAATACAAGCTCAAGCGTCCTGGACTGCAGTCTGTCTTCACCTCGTCAAATCACAACACATTTTGCTGTTCGATAGTTTGAACCAATGCTGGCGCAATGTTTAAGTGTTAACTAAACTGGATCGTTGCTTCTCTGGTTTTGTTGCCATAACAAATAGCACGAAGGTAACCTTCATAATATAGCGCCTTCGTCCGTTGCAGCTGGTCTGAGAGACCAGACAACATGCCCGAGAGAGTCAATACATTCATGATGCTATGATCAAAGGATCAGAACCGCATAGGGAGGTCACAGACGTCCTAAAAATAAATTAAATTAAATTTCTCCAGTCCAAATACGACATTCAGAGTGCGAATACAGTGACGGAACAGTTAAAAATGGTTGCCTGCGTTAACTCAGGCTGAGAACCACAATTTGATTCAACCGTAGTAAAGATTGAACTAGTAAGGTAAAAAGATATGACTTGTCGTGTAAGACCTGGAAGGATAGGAAGTGCTATTCAACTTAAGCTCACCACTCACAAATAAGTTATTTTAGAGACCAACGAGAATATTCTGAGTTAGAAATAATCATGCTCAAGAACTGGAAGCATTACCCTGTAATAACCATCTACCAAATTAATACTCCAGATGAGTGCCGGGTGATACTGCAAAATAAGCAGTATCACACGGCCATGGAGATCATGATATTAGCTTATGCACATAAGGCAGAGAGGAGGTTGAACATGTATGAATCGACATTGACCCTACGGCTATATACGAAGAACCTCAGTGACTTTTTGACAGTGATAAGAAATAAAAATCAAGAAGCTGAAGAAAGAAATCGACAGAACAATGGTGTGTCGAAATTATGTGAAAGTAAGAAAAAAACAAACAAAAAAGACAAATACCTTCAGCAAATATACTTTTCTTCAAAAAACGACGATAAGGTCAAAGAAGAAAGGACTCGGTCTCCTCGGATGCTTACCACGGAGAACCATCATCGTCACTGTCACTGTAAAAATAAGCTGAGGGACATTTCTTCCTGAAAACACACCAGACCACCAGGAAACCTCAGTATTTCCTATTTTGGTGAAGATAGAATGATACCATATTCGCCTAATCAATTGCACATCTGGAGAAGTTGAGCTCAGATAGAAATCATGTCAGCTTCTTATTTCTTCTACCGGTAAGCAGAAGATGTATGTTACAGAGAACAAACTCTGACTACGATAATAAGCAGTAACTAACAACTAATAATTACTGGGCTGGGATGGACTTTGCCTTTCTGCTGCTGTAGAGTCTTCACCTTTAGTCTTGGAAAACATTACGTCCTTTACTGCAATATTCGATGTACAAACTCTGGGAATTGAGTGATTATTGTGTTGTATTCACTCAAACTTGGACTACGACAATGACATAGACTTCAACATTAACAACAACTTCAAATGCAATTGGCAGCTATAGCTAGAGAAGGAAGACAAGTTCCTACATGACGTACGTCATTTAGTTACAGGGTGTGATCCTTAACAAGTCTTGATTGTCTGTCGTCAGAGCCTACCAGGATTTGTCAAGTCAGAAAGATGACGAACCTTGAGTATCAGAGCTAAGGCGATCCAACCATGCTGGCGATACTCTGATCGTAGGCTCCAGACTAAACATAACATATACGAACGGTTCCATAGTTTCCCATCATGATTGAGCAACCACTTTCCACTCTCTCTAGCTTTACACCGTATACGTATACTTGACAATTTTAAGGAATTTGGGCGAAGCTCTCAAACCGTTGTTTATGAAACAAAAAGGTGAGATAATTGGGAACAGAAATTGAACACGAATGCTAATGAATCCTCCTTCTGTTTTGTAATTGATGCAAATACAAGCAAAAGCTGAGTGCATAGAGGATATGATAAAACCAATCAACATAATGGTACGTCGAAATGATGAGTAAATTTTGTTCGATCTGCATATAAAACTTAGGAATGATAAGTACATGGTAAACCTATTTACTCAAATGAAGAATAAAAATCAACATGTTGCATGAATACACAAGATGTACCTGATGGCTGTTGAATCTGATGCTTTACATGGCTTCCAAGTTCCTTGAGAAGAGCACGATCTCTTATTGGCTACAACTTCTTCATCTTCTTGGCCCCACGTTTCTTCTCTAAATTTGTCCGGGCAGCGCATCTTACTTCCACCATCAGAATCAGGGTCATTCCACGATACGTTTTTTCTTGTACTGTCACGAAAGTCAAAGTCGGAATCATCTTGGGACCCTTCGGATTTCAAATTCATAGTATTGTGAACATTCTGGTCCAGAATGCAGTCACCATGATTCTCTGTTTCCACCCCAGAAGCGCTTGGCTGGGATAACTTAACATCTTGCCAATTATGTTCAATCCTGGAGAAGCCCATGCTACCCCCAACGCTCCAGCAATCTCTAATACCAGAGTCGCCTGGCAATCCTGATGTTTGTTGGCTTTATCAGTTAAGTAGGTTCATCCAGCTAACTTCAAACGAATCTGATTCTTCCACAGGGGAGAAGGAGATGATATTACGTTTTTTATGAGGTTTTGATAAGGATACCCTATACCAGAAACTCGTATTCGAGCAAACAATAATAGCCTCCCAGACCAGAAAGAATAGCATCCCCAATTAGTTGCTGTACGAATGATTATGGAAATACTTTGTGTCGAAAGGGCAACTAAATAACTCAAAAGCTAACACTCACCGTGCATATCACTGGAGGTTTTGAATGATATGAACATGCCTTACAAACTGATGCCCTAAAGAAATTTATCGATCAGGGGCTAACCAGGGAGAACTGTATTCTAAGCTGGAAAAAATCCCAGCCTAAACGCCAGAAGTGAAGAACATGCAAGGACAGCATAGAAGACGTTTAAAATTCACCCCAAAAATTACATGAGAATGTAGTTATGTTAGTCAGCTGCTCACATGAGTGATTCTTACTGAAAACTCAGGCGATGACAAACATGTGGGAAACAAGGCAAACAGTTTTGCGCGAGTCCATTGAAATCTGGAATAGTCGGACAATACAAGAGCACGGCGTGCTTAAACAATTAGTGGAGGGACGTATGTTCTTAGCGTGACCTTTTCTGCAGGGGCGGAGTGAAGCTAGAAAACATATTTTAGAGATCGGACAATCGACCATCTTTGAGAGGTACAAACCAGAAGGTGTCACATCCAAATTCTCATGAGTGTCTCTTCCAGATGGTAAGGACCCATGATTGCCTCCGCTAGTGTTTACTGGTCCCAATGCTGCCAGTCTGCAAACAAATACAATAAACAAAAGACTTCTTCAAGTATTTCAAAAGGTTAATGTTCTTGTCGATTCTTCCTGCTTAAATGTAGTACGGTTCTTAAGTTTTGCCGGATGGCTATTCAGTCACAGACTGAACATGACAAAACCCCAATCTTAAACGTCGCTTCGAGTTTTATATGACATTATTTTAGATGGGTGTAAGTTTAATAGCCTTTCCACATTTGAAATTGTGACTCATCAACCCTAGTAAGGTCATCAGATGGGTAACATACGAAATTGATTCGCTATTTGAAATTCGCGTATTATAAGAATTCAACAGCATAACTAGACCAGTTCAAAAAATTTGAGATAGAGACATAATCTTGATGGTATGTTGATGAATTACGATACTAGTAGTGGGGTAAACAAGGATAGGTTCGAAACACTTGCCCTCCTGTTCTTCGTAAAGGCGGCAACTCTCCGAGAAGGGATAACTTTCCACCTAACTTTCCAACGTCCTTACACGTTTCATTTACACGGGTGGCTACAACCTTCTCTGGTGCTGGAGCACTCTTGAAACTCCTCACAGTGCTTGCAACGGGTTTGCCTGATGTGCAACTCTCCAGTTGCTGTGTACTTCCGAGCATAAAGTCAGTAAAACATGCTGCCTATGAGCATGGATCTACGTATAACACATAACTACAGACATTTTAGAATTACACATGCCTATATGAATGTTTGACCCAAACCACTTTACTTGAGTTTATATGTGCTTATCAGACATAAATTACAACCCATGGTTTATGCGTAAACGTTGAAGTTGATTAATTCCTTTCGTAGATTTATAATTCATCTTATTTTCAAACTGATAAGCATGCACATACCGCTGACGACTGGGAATGCTTCTCCAGAGAAGTGTTCGGAGAACTTGTGGCTTGGTCAAGTCCCTTGCTGCTGACAGACAGGGCGTCAGTCACATTCTTCAGTAATGAGGTATCAATATTGCAGTAAGTAGCTACCTAAGGCCAGAATATATTGATTTGCCTCTTCTTCCAAGGTATCGCACACATCATAAAACTACAGACACAACTGGACCAAGTACTCCTTTCCAAACCCATGAATTTAAAACTGGAGATTTTGAACACCGTATGTAGATTGGTCTTTCAAACTAAATTAAAATATCAGGCAATTTTCATAAACGTCGGAAGTGGGACGAACGGTGATCAGAACCAGATGATGATATCACAAGAAATTCCACTCAGAAATTTACAGATTGAAAAAATTGAATATGAAGTGCGATCGTTTTCGTCTGCATTGGTCTAGTATTCGACTCTTTGATAACTATACCAGCAAGAGCCGGGCAGATACTAGAAAAGTTTGGATTGAAGACATGGTAAACTTCAGTGGTTGAATTGACCCCCTCAACCACCTACTAAACCCAGTCTTAGGTGAGCCAGCCTACCTAACATTGTTGCTGGAGGCTTTATAAAAGCACAAGCCACTGTGTAGCAAAATTTGCCTCGTCCTCTCTAACTTTACTCCAACATCAAGCATATGTATACAAGGTAATCCAAATCGTCCTCAAAGAATAGGTTGTTTTGCTAATTCAACTCTTCTAAACCTGATTCTGTGGGCTCTACATCACACGCCTCTATTGACTGCAGCCAGCATAGAAAATATTGTGGCTTACCAGTGAGATTCAAGTGAGAAACGAACACTAAAATGTGAAATTATCTTGAGAAGATGATATACGCAATAATTTATGGTAAATGGGTGGTGCTTTACTTGGACAAGTTCAAGCGTGATTCCAAGCCTCCTCTCAAATCCTCATCTCCGATATCCAAGCCATTATTCGAGGGCTTCGATGCTGCACTTGACGATACTCTCGACGATTTTGGGTGGCTAGATGAAGCGACTGCATATGAATCCTTCACCAGAGTTGTCTGCTGCCACCACCCATTTCGGAATTTCATTGACAATAAAGTAGACCTAGAGCTGTTACTGAACGTTCATGATGAGAAGGTTTTGAACGCTACATACAGAACCCTCTGGGCCTCCTAAGAGCTCTGGACCAACATGACAACCCAAGTACAATTCAAAAAGCGCGAAATATGAATTGCGCAGAAAATCTACTTCTTAAAATCTTACACTTGTCAGACTGAGATGTTAGGATGTGGGTATTGTAAGCATCTCTAGTAGTAAGGTTTTTCCAGTTCTTTCTGTAGATGATGCGTCAAAAATTTGAAGTCTGAAAATCTGACCAAGCATATACCACAAATTTCAAGTAGCAAGAGAGATCATACCTCAGATTTCAAATAACCTTCTAAGACTTCCAGTAGAAGGGGTCGTGTCTCCGAAGAGATTCCTGATACATTTTTGTCACTTTTAATCTCCAGCAATTCCTCGAGTTCAGCTCTTGAATAGGGACGGGGCTGTGTTCAAAGACATGAGATTTCGTCGGTGAGGAGTCCGTAGGCTTGCAAGAATATACTTGTCAGCCAAACAGACGTTCTGAGCCAAAGTTAATACATTCTAGCTGCTCTACGGATTAGAGACAAAGGTCATGAGAACATCCTAAAACTTATAAGCAGTTCCGGCTTTGATACCTGGTTAAGCTCAGGAGAGTACACTCTCAGAGTGCGCTCCAGTTCACACCATTCCAAGTATTCACAAATGAGGCCTGTCAGCAACTTCCCTGCAACCAATGAAGCCGTCTCTAGGTGAACAAGAAATGCTTACCCACATCGAGAGGAGCTAGAACCGTCTACAATTCCACTTCGGGAAACACCAACCTCATGTCTGGTCTTGCCAAATAAATTATGAACCAACCGTGTGAATTGAAGAAAAAGAACCACAAAATTACCGGCAGGAGTCGAATGAAGCTGTTTGGCCCGCTCGCTACATCCACCTAGTAATGCGAAAGAGTCCCCGCCCTCTGCTTCAGTGGCATGATCCTGCTCTTCAATAGCTTGAAAAACGTTTGCCCGCAGCTCTGCCTGCATTTACAACCAGGACATTGGCCGTCCAGGCGATTACACCCTGATATACAGAGGATCGCACTATGTGTCCCACATTTGTTCAATAATTCAGACACACTGCTACAACCGCATTGCGGACGCCGCTCTTGTTGTGAGTTTGGTCCACCCCACAGCGGGATCGGGAGGCGAGAGCACATAATTACTCAACGAACAACTCCCGGCAACAAAACTCCTCCGCAATGTACAATGCTCTGATAAAACCTGGAGAAAAACGTCAAAAAAGGGGCAGAGGCGGCACAAACAAACCCGAATGCGTGCCAAAACGCCCTTCTTCTCAAGCGATTTGGTGACCAGAGTCTTGAGGTCCATCATCTCCTTCATGTAGTCGTCCATCGCGACGCCGACCGGGGCAACACATGCACCGCGCCACTGGCGAACTCGTCCGCCTGCAGAAAATGCTCCGACTGCAGAAAATGCTCCGACGATACTCGCCTCGCTCCGCGCAGCCCCAGATCAGCGCACCGTTCCTGCCGTCTCACAATCTTGGTCTCGTGAGGAGCGAGCACGACACAGAACACAAACTCCCGCTGACACACAAATTGGTCGAGCTTTTCTCGTCCTCGTCGTGTTGCCGGGCCTCTGTCCTCCGTGCCTAAATGTGTAATGGCGCGGGCTGGGCCTGGGGCTGGGTCCCGCGGCGTCGCTCACTCACAGTCTCTCTCTCTCTCTGTCCCCGCCTGTACTGCACCAACAAACAAACAAACCAAAACCTCTCTGTCTAGGACCACGCCATTCACCGCGGTTTCAAATCCCACCGTTACGCCGTCCGTCTCCACCACGCCACGCTTGCTACTGCGGTGTTCGCAGTCCCTCGCTTTCGCTTTCGCGCGCCGTACGGCACAGTACAGTAGTAAGCGACTGTGTATTTGGACGTGACAGGCTCTAGCTCCCAACTAGAGCCTGTCAAGGATTCGAGATTATGAGCAGTTGTTGACACACAGAGTCTTGGGAATTCTGTGCCAACAAGGAAGCCCTTTTTTTATGAAATTGAAATACTCATTTCTCATATACCCCATTCATTGATCCAAATCCTTCTTCCTGTGGATAGTGTTTCTAAAGAGATTTTCACTTTCGACAGTACAGTGATTTAGAATGATTTGATGTAAGACGATGTTATACGATTTTGCTCTCGCTCAATGCAAAATAATACCCAAAACCAGCTATATGCTTGCTCTGCATTGTACTTATATCCATTCGTATGGGGGTTGTAGGATTATAGTTGTTACAATTCTAGGATGAATGAATCGATAGCTCTTACTTTCTTCACAATGGCAGCTAGGGAGATGTCAGCGGTAACACGCTGAAGATCGTTGCTAAGGTCAAATCATTCCTCAAACAGGTTCTTCGCTACTCCCCAAAGTTCTCAATTCATAGTTCTTCGCTACCTAGACAAACCACCCGTTTGCCTTCAGTTTCATCTTGCTTGCAATTAATGACACGAATATGCAAGAGAAAACAAATTTTTTTTCTGCATTGGCTTTTAATCTAAAGATTCAAGACTACAAAGTCTGAACTAAAATTGATGGACTAGAAGACACTTACAACATTCATCATTCTTAGCTAATTTGTTTTTTTAAATTTTTTTTGTAGAAATAAATATACTTAAAGTGTATGCAATGAATATAGGTTTATGAGAAGGTCATTTTCAATTTGTTTTATGTTATACGAGACACTCTAGCCATGAAATATAACACAAAGTTACAGTCTGTTCCCTTCCATGTAGGTGAAAGTAATATAATATCTTTTGATGGAATTATTGTTTAGATAATCATTGTAGGTCTTTGTATGAACAGGATTTTGTTGAAAAACAATAACTACTAGTTTTCACATTAAAATTTCATTATGCTAATGTTATATCTTTACCGGTCCAACCTCATATATATATATATATATATATATATATATATATAAAAGCATGTATGGTTATTATCAATAGAAAAGACGGAAGAGTAATGCATTCATTCTCAAGTTGATGATCACATCAAATCTCAATCATTATCCATTATTTTAAAGGCCAAAATATTTTTGAGCATACTCAAAATCCTCCATTATCTTGTAAGATCTTGCTGCTCTCATTCTCGGGACTAGAAGTGGACTGTGCAATATCAAGTTGTTAAACAAACATATTTCAATCATAAATCTTCTTATGCTGCGTCACACTAAATTCCACTAGCGTCTTGTAATTAACTTCAACCGTACAAAATTCAGGTTTAAAGTTGTGTCATGAAGCACGGTAATAATAAACACCACTTGTTTTGAAGAAATATTCGGGCTATAGTAGCGGTCAACTTCACTTCTCTCTATGTAATGTGCTAATAAGTTTAAGGATGAGATCACCGGCGCTTTTCACCCTGAGGCTTTATCTCCATCGTCTTGGTAAGCAAAGAGCTCAGAGATGATTTAAAAGTCACTGATAAACACGCATGCGTTTATTGTAAGCCATTCCAGGACATATAATCCAAGTTCATGCTCAGATCCAAAATTTTGGATCTGAGCATGAACTTGAAAATGTGATATTTTATACAATTCTAAATCTTTCATCAATTATTGCAAGTGAGTCCTTGCACTGTTTTTTTTTTGAAATGTTTATCTAGAAGTTGAATTTTGTTATAATTTTCGTTTAATTCTCACATGCATGAAAGAATTTGAGTATTATTTAAACACGAAACGTCAATGACATTGTGTAACGCTTTTGCAATCGCTGAAGTTTTTTCTTCCTCTGTTTATCTCTAGTATACATTCAAATCCATCATATCTATATTTTGATATTTCACGGTTTGAGAACATTTTTCCATATAACTGTTGTTGTATGTGAAAGACTTTTTGGACATGTTCCAAACACAGAATCTAATCACGACGCGGAAAATAAGAGTTGAAAACAAAAGCTTTTGGTGACTTTAGTCTAGAGTCTCTTCAAGGGTTTATCCATGGACACTTGGGGCTATAGTTTTAATTTCGCTCTTAGCTGAATTGGGCATTTTCACTGCAAAGTTTGCCATTTTATTCTTTTATGGTTAGTCTCATTAGTATCGTAAATAATGAGGTTTATCGATTAATTGATAAACCTCATGGATTCAAGTTATTAAAAATTGATCCTAGAAGAATCCTTTACACTATTGACACGTTATCTTCCTTCCCTCACAATTTCAAACTTATCTTTCGGCAGTGCTACCCGAACAGGTTGTCAGTCTCAACGATATCTGAGTTTATCGCGCGGAGATAATAACCTGTTAATCGACATACTGGATGTGTCTCTGTGCTTGGGAAATCACGAGATCGACAGTGTAGAACATCTCTGATGCCTCGAACGCGCTAGCTATCTCTTCTCCTTCGAAACCACTATCCAAAGCTGGGATCGATTTCGAGGGTAGCCTGTTGTCGAGTGTTCGAGTAACGAGTTTGAGCATCTGAGCCAACACCAGCTTGCACAATTCGGTGCCTTGTTTGGGTCTGCCTTGTCTGGGTCTGCTTACACGGAATTGGAGAAGATCTCATTCAATCCATCCATTTCGAGATTCAGAATTCTTTTCTTCAGGAACTTCAAACAGAATTCTGCCTATGCGGATCCTTTAGTTGGTGACCCACATTCTCCACGCATTGCAAAAATATACCTTCCTTTGTGGACTCTGCCAAGTCTCCAGCCATTGGAGACTTCCACGAGGGAAGACGCTGGCAATCAAACAATTTGGAAGTGCTGCGACTCGAAGTGTTCAGTTGGGAGGAAAGGACAAGTGCGCCGTAAAGCCTGAAAAATGTCGACTCATGACAACAGTCTCACTTCCACATGTGCACTCCCCCGGAAAAACATAAATTAGAGTCCTGACTGATTTGGTCGAAGTAAGAAATTCTGTACAGGTCCTTGTTTTCACCCTGTTTTGAAGGCTGGAAAGCCCTACTGCGCAGCGGGAAACTACAGGCCGTTATCACCCAATTGGACTTTCACCTTATCATGAAGTAGAAGAATAGGCTCGATGGCAATAAGGGAGTCAAATATAAGTCAAATGTATAACACAAACATGGCCATGCATGACCTTCGCATGTGACTCTACTCCGAATATAGAAACCCACGAGTCTATTTCTCTGATCATGTGACTCATAGGCAACGAGAACTTTCTACTGAGGACCTGATGCTCCAAAATGGATAATGATTCGGACTCTAATTTATGTTTTATGTATTTAACCATCTCGCATTTCACTCACACTATCGGTGTATAGTGGAGTGAAATGCGAGATGGTTTGTGGTGATTTAATTGGACTTTACACCAGTTGAATCTTAAATCTTCATAGTGATTATATTTATCCTGTCCATCCCAAATCCTATTTCTTCTGGGGAACTTGGGAAGACTTGGTAAGACTTGGGAAACAATGTCTTATGCTAGAAGAAATCTCGTCAACACCGATATCGGTCAATCAATCTCCGGTTCTGTGGTAACATACTTTTTGTTTTTTTCGCGGAATTTAAACAATTTTGAAAAAGAAGTACCGAAGTAGTATCTGTAGTTAGGAAATGGTACGTTAAATAGAGTGAACTAAGGAGATCGCGGGTCACGAAGAATCACGGAGTTGGGCGCAACGGCGCCAAACGCCTTCGGCGCCTTCGGCAACAGCTCCTTTGCTGAGGTGTCTTTACCCACGCGCTTCCGGCGCGTAGGGAAGGTACGCTTTCGGCACAGACACCTCCGGAGGAGATGTCGCTGAAGACGTCAGAAGCCGGCAAGGACCTCTGAATGCTTCCGACCGGGAGTGCGCCTTCGGAGATGCGCCGTTGGCGCAGGAGAGAAACCTTCATAACGATCAGGATTCACGGTAGTTCTATTTGGTTAAGGTCTCATTGGAAAGATCTCGAGACGCTCGTTCTAACGAGCCCAAGAACGCCTGAGATGGATCAGGGACGAGGAAGTTATGAGCATCGGTAAACTCGCATCCGGCGTTGCGCGGACAGGCGGATGCGCCGGCGTAATTCGCGCCGGCAGGATACGCGCCTTCGGCGATATGCAGGGCAGAACGGACAAAAGAAGTTGTACAAGTACGTGTCGGCGTAATTCGCGCCGACTTGATGTGCGCCTCCAGCGAGGCGCCGGCGGAGAAGGAGTACGCCTTCGGCGATACACCTCCGGCGATGGGCAGGTTGGGAAAAGACAAAATAGTCGGAGCGTACGCTCCACCGCGGTGAACTCCAGACCGGCGTACACCTTCGGCGAGTATTACGCCTTCGGCAAACTCGAGGTCGGAAGCCCTCGGCGATGACGAACTCAAAGCCGGCGGACGATGGCGGCGGGAGAAATCAACGTTCAAGCATGCGAGTGCGCGCAATGCAGCGGCGTGAATTCGAGCATGCGAGGGAGAACCGTTAAGCCGCATAGCCGGCTGCGTAATCAAGTGGGATTGTACCCACTGCCTACGAAGAGCGTTGTGCGATCTTGATTTCAGAGAAGAAAAGTATGCTCTCCACTCTCATTCTCTCATTCTTGATTTTGAGTTTTCCAGCTTCAGAGCTTGAGGCGTGCAGCTCAATCGGGCGGAGAGATCTTCAGTGAGTTGGAGAGAGTGCAGGAATCAGTGAGCAGGAAGGAGTGCGTAGCAACCAGGCGCGCGGAGGCGAATTGCGCGAGGATCTTGACAGACCCTGCAGAGAGTTTGAGAGTAGAGAGATTGAGCGCGCAAGGGAGGAGAGAGC